TTCTTTCTGACTTACGTCCAAGAAGCAGAACAGCTGCTTGAGCCTGAAAATGTTCCAGGCGAAGACTTGTGTGAGAAAGTTTTCTTTGCCTAATCAATCTGGAGTACCATGTAGTCAAAATGCCAGGATCTTAAACACTTCTTCAAAGCTACCTTTAGTAGAACAGTTGCATTTGTGACAAACCAGTTATTGTTCAATGTTTTTGTCCTTTGGACTGAAGAAACTCGACATATTCTCCTCTACAGCGACACTGTCCACCTCCACCTGGGAAATCTCCAGGTGTTCTCTGAATATTTAATCCTTCTAATGAGTTCTGGTCCTTCACCCGTCCGAATCACCTCAACTGACATTGGATCAATCCAAAATAACAAAAGTATCAAAACCAAGTGGAAGTCAGCATCGGATCGGCACTATCGTGGTAAGATCGATGCTTCAGTTTCAGATTCCCTCATGAAATTTCAACTAAACTTTACCTCAAAGAATATTTTGTTTTGATTTGCTCTAACATGATATATGTTTGTTTATTTAGAAAAAAAATTCACACAAATTTGCTTTCTTATTCTGTTTGTCATGTTAACGTGTCATTACAGTATTTTGTAGACGCCTATAAACTTTGTAGAAATTCTGTCCAAAATAATTCTCAGAGAAAATTACAAAAACTCAAATGTCAGAAGTTTGATCATTAAACGTGAATGAAAAGTATCAGTGTAGGTATTGATATTGGTGATACAGGCCCTGTATTTACTTGGTTTCACATCGATACCAAAACATGACTTATCGCACTGCATTAGCGACATTCCCTGTCCTGATGCAGCAGAACATCATGAATTCTACACTACTGATCCCAACATACAGACACCGTTCAGAACCAAAACACATTAAACTGGACAGACATGACAAATCACTAAATCTCCTTCTTTTCCTCACATTAAGACCTGAGAACAGAGTTTCCAATAAGCAGGCATAGATAGTCAAGAAAGCAAACGGCGTGTGCCAGCAGTTCAAACATTAAACTGACTGTGTAAGACTTGTACTGAACCGCTTCCCCCAGATTGACACTTCTAGATGTGCTGAACTTCCCCAATCAGAGATGTCACAGCGGGTGTTCTGCCCTTGACAGCTGATGGAAAGCTCCCGCATGTACCGCTGATTGGGAGGTGGCGAAAAGCGCAACATGTTTTCTAATCCACAAAAACTCCAGTGGAGTTTTTTTTCCCCCCTTTCTCCATCTGAATAAAGTACTGAATTTAGGTCTGAGGAAACGGACGGTTTACTCGTTTTTGTTTGTAGTCGTTTTCCGGTGACGTGCGGGGTTGAAACAAGGCAAAGCGTGACCACGTCGCGTGTGATATTCAGCCGGCTGACTTGCGGACGCCGCGTCGATGTTGGCACGGCGATCAATCGGATGGGTGTTAAAAATTACAGCGATGTGTTATGATTAGAACCGAAAGAAAAAGAAGGTGATTTGTCCCTTCTTTATGCAGAAACTTGTACGCTCACCTGCACAAAGGTGGCGTCTGTATAGGACATTGTTTGCACGGCAGAAATGAGATCACTCCTGAAGCCCTCGAGGTCACAATTCGAGTTGTGTGTGTGTGTGTGTGGGAGGGGGGGATGAAGGGATTTGCAGTATTTACAGGCTGCAAGATGAGACAAGGGAGGAAGAGAGGGCTAGTGCGTGTTCGGAGAGTAAAGCATGGAAATAGATAAGATGCGGGAGGCGGGGATGAGGCGCGTGGCGTGAGAGAGGAGGGGAGACAGGCCGATGCCCTGTTGCATTTTTATTAGGTCTGGGTTTGAGGCACCATGGGAACGTAGACGGAGTTCGCCACGCAAGGACGACGTGTCACCTTATCACGCCGTCTTGTCCTTGTCTGCTCTCCCTGTCTCTCTTCTGTGTCTCTTTATTTCACCTTTTTTTTGTCTTTTAATCTTTCACGCCGTCTTGTGTTTTTTTTTTTTTTCAGCCAACTTGGAATCGCTCCTGTCTCACAGACACATTTATTTTCTTCTGGTTACACAAAGCATTTTATGGAGGACTCAGGCGAGGTATTTGTGATTGTCGCAGATGTTAACAAAACAAAAATGCCTGAATGTTTTTCTGCTTGAAAGCAAGCAGCACTGTGAGTTCTCAGCCTGATTTCCTCTTAATCAATACCTCTGTCGTGTTCATCCAAACCCTTCTACAAAAGAAAAAGAAAAAATCTCGAGTCCTTCTGTGGCCTTGAAAACAGAGCACGAGAGTCTGGATGGAGCTTTGTCGCCCCCTGGTGTTCACTCTAAGCAGCTCGGTTGAGAAATCCGTTCTTGCTGGAGCTTTCTGCTCGGTTTTATCAATCCGTATCGAAAAGGATTAGGGCCACTGAAAGAGAATTACGACGCTTTTCAGAATTCTGATTTTCGATCTCAGAAGATTAAAGTCAGAAATCTGAGGGGGAAAAATAATTCCCCCTCAGAATTTAGAAGAAGAAGAAAAAAGTCAGAACTCTGAGAAAAGAAGAATTTTGAGATTAAAAGTTAAAATTCTGAAAAAAAGTCAGAATTAAGAAAAAAGAATTTTGAGATTAAAATTTTAATTCTGAGATTAAAGTCGGTATTCTTAGAGGAAAAAATGAAGATGAAAGTCAAAATTATGCAAAAAAAAAAGTTAGAATTCTGAGAAAAAATTATCTTGAGATTTAGGTCAGAATTCTGTGAAAAAAGTCAGAATTCTGAAAAGAAAAAAAATTCTGAGACAAAAAGAATTTTGAGATTAAAGTCAAAATTCTGAGGAAAAAAGTCAGAATTCTTTTTTTTTTTTTCTCTCAGTGGTCCTAATCCTCTACCTTGGATTTCACCCGAGTGCCTTTTCATTTCTTCTTTATGCGATCGTAACAGACGAAGCACAACACTGGATCCTCTTATCGCTGGTCCGCCTACTTGTGCCGGACTTCATCTCCACACTCATTTGGCTGGAGCGAGCCGCGCCACGGCACCCTGGGGTCACAGAGCCGTGCTATCGGTGGAACTCCCTGATTAAAGTCTCCTCTGTCTCCGGCTTTGAAGTCCGTAATCATATTCAGCCAACCAGGACGGCAGCGAATGTGAATTATAATGAAGACTGAGGGCTGAGATTGGTTTGGGAATTGAGTGGGATGCCACAATGACAGTGTTATGCAGGACACTTCAAAATATCAGCACCACCACAGCACTAACTGTGTCTTCAACACAGGCAGGATATGAGAGGCACACAGCTATGTTCATGATATTAACAGAAGAAGCTGCATTAGCATTAGCATTGTACTGTGCTTGAACCTGTCACATCGCAACCGCAAAGCTCTAGTGTGTTTTACTGTGATTTTATAAGACAGACCAACACAAAGTATGACATAAATGTGAACTGGAAGAAAGAAAAATTTCAAACTAAATCTTAAAACTGTGGGAGACTAAAGGTTAACAAAATATAATACTAATAATAAAAAATGCAATTATCAATGAGTAATTGTCTGAACACAGTGGTGGTTGATTAGCTAATTTAAACGCCTGCTATGATGACCTGTCAGAGTACTGGTGTGGGCCGCCTATTGTTTTAAATGAACTGAAACACCAAATTCTGCAGCACAGCTACATATTGAGGTTGTCAAAGTCAAGCTAGCATAAATAACCCACATCCCTCATCCTCGCTACTTTTTTAATTTAAAACTTCTCACTGACTTGTGACATGTGACACCCTTGAACCTTTTTATCTAGTCTTCAGTGTTGACAATAAGTAGCAAAGCACTGTGTCCCTTTTTCTTTTAACATTTACATTTAGGACTTAGCGTGTTAAGTTGACAACTTGACAGCTAAAACCAATGGTAGCAGCTTTTTGCCCTCCATCAGGGAGCTGTTGGTGCTAAGAGTTTTCACTTTAGCTAACTATACAAAATCTAAAATCTGTGTGAATAAACTAAGAATACATCTAATATCTCCATCTTTTAAATAAAGTTCCTTATAATACTAATCTACATCGCTACTTTGTATGGATTAAAACAACTAAGGAGCAGTTTTACAATCAGGAGTTGTACAGTACTGTGTGTGTGGAGCAGATTTAATGAGATACAAAGAGCAAAAAATAAAAAATAAATAAATAAATTAAACAGCGTAGTATTGGAACTAACATTATGCAATATGTGGCAGCCATGTTGGAGCAGCAAATAGATTGTCAGATATATCACAACATCTATGTTCAAGTTCAAAATAATTCTTCATAAGAGAAATATCTGGAACATAATGAAGTGTTCAGTTTGAGATGTTCATAAAATGTTTAGCACTTATAATTCAGATTTCTTTTATTTAATTTTGAGAGGTTTTCAAGTTACAATGAAGCTCATTGAAGCACCTTAAATTCTTTTTTTTTAATCAGGTAAAGTTACCTATATTGAAATTCTGCTTCAAATAAAGAACCTTATGATTAATTCTTAATCATTTACAAGTAAACAGTGTTTTATTGACAGTTATTTCTAAAAATCAGTGCGATGATGAGGTTGAAATTTGGGTGGACCTAACTTTTGTGCTTCTAGCTATGTCTTCATAGCCATTTTATGTGATAGTTTTATACAGTTTATTGTTTTTCCTGTAGAAAGTTTGCTGTTGTTGTTTTTAACGTGCTTCATAAATAAAAGAAAGACCCTCCGAGACCAATTAACAGTGATGCAACCAACTTCCTTGTGTTTCAGAGACTTGCAATATTTACTAAAGGGGTCCTTGAGATTTAAAAATGTTCAGTCTGTTAAAAATCTGAGGTTTAACTAGACGTCATCACCGCCATCTGCTGTCTGTGAGATGAATTTTACGTCTTATTGCAGTTTCTGCATTCAGACCAGCAGGTGGAAGCAAATACTAACATCTGACAACATCCGAGTCTCACGCAGGTTCCTCGTTTCTTCACCTGCCGATACAAAGTCATTAAATCTCAAGCATCCTTCAAAAACTGCCGGAGTTAAACTGTTATCTGCAGATCAATATCTGTGTGTGTGTGTGTGTGTGTGTGAGAGAGAACGAGGACAGGACAGCCACAGGAGGCCGAGTGCCGGTAATGGGCTGTAATCAGGGATAAATGTTGACACGGTTGCACGCGCGCAACTTGAGCGCAAAATCTACGGTGGCCGGAGATAATTTGGCAGCGCGGAATGAGATTATCACTGGTGAGGTGATTAATGAGCTAGCATCTCGGCTGCGGTTAGCTAGCAGTCACCGCCGTGCTGTTGGTTGGCACCTGCCGGACCTCCATGCAGGTAACATCACATTAGACTCAACACCTGGCGCGGCAGTCAGCTCACCATGGCAACACGTGTTAGCAGATATGAAACAGCCGCGTTTATTCACGTATTTTTGTTTCTGGCGGGATTTTTTTTTTCTGACATTTTTGTGGCACTAATATTAGAAGTGAATGAGCCGGCCCGTTGTAATTCACTAGGGGTTCATTTTAAATGATTTATATGGTAAGAAACGACACCTTTGAAGTTTAAATAATACAATGTTCAATTGTGACATACACTTTTGAAAATCCCAGAAAACAAACAAACAAACAAACAAACAAACAAAAAACTGCTACAACTAAATTTATTACAAAATAATTCATATCTATCTTGGAATATAATAAAAAGAGAGAAGAAAATGTCCTAAAAGATACCAAACTTCTTTATCTGTCAAATATTACACGTTTTTTAGCTGCTCAAAATATTTGAAAGAGGAGGGCTAAAGTAAGCAGGAAATATTTTATGAATGTTCGTTGGTTCTTGTAAATCTCAATCACTTTATTCACTCGATTTAACAAATGTCATCATTAATTCACCAACACATCCTCTTACAACACTTCCTAGTGAAAACAGAGCAGGAAGAGGAACAAATATCGCATAAACCTGCCCCTTTCTCAAACTTGATCTGACGGGTCCTGGAACTGTTTGTGAAATTAATTTGTGGAGGAATGCACTGCAAAAACACAAAATCTTAACAGGTTTATAGTGCTAATACCTTAGTACACTAGAAATAAGACAAAACTAACTTACACGTAACTTTTCAGAAAGTAAATATGAGCTTGTTTGAAGTCTATAATTCTTTAATGTTGATGAAAAAGTCACAGCTTCACCGGTAGATTATTTCATTTATAACATGGGAGAAATGTCTTGTTATAAGTGAAATAATCTACCAATAGAGCTAGTAGTTTTTCATCAATGTTAAGGAATTACTGACTTAAAACGAGCTCCTGTTTACTGTTAGTTTTTGTCTTACTTCAACTGTACGAAGATGTTAACACTAGAAACTAGACCAAAAATACTTGCTAAGACTTTGTGTTTTTTGCACAGTGTGTCTGAATGTCATTTTCTATGTAAAGTGAGATAGTATTTGATTCTTACAGGTTAAGAATGAGGCCAGGAGTAAACATTTTCGAAATGTCGAACATGGCCACCAGTTTTACACCCGTTTGGCGCTTGGACTGAGCCGTTCCCCCACCTCCGCGTGCACAGACACCTACATCAGATAACGCTCTCCAAAAGTCTCCGTGGCGAGCCGTTTGAAGCGGCTCCAGTGAACCGCAGCCCCACCGCCACCGCTCCTCCCCTCTCCCCCTCCAAGCTGTCGCCTCTTGTTCCCCGAGAGCGGTGCGGTGTGTGCCGGGTGACGGGGTCAGGGTGAAGGGGTCCCCTCCATCTCCATATAGGCTGTAGGCTACAGCTGCTCCTATGAGATTGGTACCTCAAACGCTGAGGCTGCGCCTCAGAAGTCTCCCCGCGTGTGTGTTTGTGTGTGAGATAAGGGGATAGAGACATCTTCATGGTGTAGGAGTGGAAGGATTATCCCCATCTCTGCTGTATTAAATACAAAGATGGAGGGCGGAGGAGGAGGGTGGATAGTTGGCGAGTTCAGCAGGTGCTGCAGTGCCCACCCCTTGCTACGACCTTTAACCTGCACAACAGCAGACCTGGCTTCAAGCCCGACGTTTACAGCTGCAATACACACACACACACACACACTTTGTGCTGCATAGGTAGACAGGTGGTCTTAAAATTGTACTCCCACTGAAAAATTTTATAAAAATCAATTACTTAAAAAAAAAAAGTCATAAATCTTGAACAGCTTAACTGGAAAAAGACAAAAACACTTTTTATTCAACTACAGCGTTCAGTCTGGATTAAAGTCCAGCAGTAAACCACATCTGGATGAGACGCTGTTGAGCCTTTGCGTTACCTAGTAGATTTTTATTTTTGCGTTCTCTCGCAGTAATTTACTAGTCGGTTCGGCTTTTCCATGTATGTTAATTTCTCGTTAGTGAAGTTTAGGATACAAATGCACCACAAATGTATGTGCAAAATGCAAAAGCAAAACAGATGATGGGTTTTCCATCCCTTCTAAAGCAAACAGAAACTTTACGTGAGAAGGAAAGAGAGTATTTGTGGTCAGGTACATGCATCGTCAATGTGCACCTTAGAATTCAAACTATTGCAGATTTTGTTCCACCTGTTAGCAAATGAAATATTTTCCTGAAAAACATGGGCATGTTTTTGTCTTTTTATTTAACATGCTGCACAAAGCAGTTATGTGTTGCCTGGCTACTATTATATAATGTAACCGAGTCAAATTATTTTATTTTGAATTCTTTTTAGGCTTGTTTTACTTTGTTCATTAACTAATATTTGTGTGTAGCTCATTTTGAAACAATGCGACATGCACATCTGTATCTACAGCTGAAACGAGCAGCAATCTCCAACACAAACACGCTTAAAAATGAATAGGAAATGTGTTAAGACAAAAAAATACGACTATTGTCAACGTCCACGTAATACGGGACGTCACACCTTTTACAACCCTAACCCTCCACAGATGATGTTTAAAATAATTTACCTGCCTTCTGTCTGAGTTACATTTGGGTCATTATGTTAAGTGTTATTTTTTTTAGATTTACACCCAGGATATTTTAGTTTGCAAACAAGTTTGACGTTACTTTTTAAAATTACAACACACCAAACGAACGCTTCAATGTGGAAAAGCGACACTGAAGATATGCATGAACTATAGACAATACGTTTGCCTTTAATCAGCTAAAATAAGTATTTAGACGCACAGAGGGTTATAATTGGTACCAAATGCACGATGCTGAACGTTGAGCTCTGCTCTGACTGCTGACTCTGTCACCACAGTTTCCAAGCGGCGCTGGCCTGCAGTGGAGACTAAGTGATCCCAGCGGCAGAGCGTCGAGTAAACGCCTGAGTGTGTGCATTCGGTTTCCCCCACCCCACAGCACCCCCTCCGCACACACACATTTTATCATGCACATGGCTAATATTTACCCCAACCTCATCACTATTCATCCCTTGATGCGTCAGCGTCGCCGGGACCGATTGCTTCCCATCCCTAAACAAACATGTGGCGCAGAACAGGGGAAAGGCGTGCGGCAGAAACACGAAATGCTCTCGCGTTGTTTTCCCAGAAATCAGAAACACGTGAGAGCGGCTGAGGGGGCCCGCCAGAGAGGAAAATCTGCTGATGTCGCCGTCTTCCCAAAACTCCGTTCAGGGGTGCCTTCCGTCTAAATCAAAATGTTGACAACGTAATGACACAGCACGCCGAGGGGTTGTTGTTGTCGCAGCACAAATATGTGCTGCTGCGTGTTGTTTACAGAGAGCCAGTTGGGATGTTTGATCTGTTTCTGGTGGAGGTCAAACTCTTTAAAAAAAAACCACAAACAAACCCACAGTTCATTTTACGAACGTGTGGATTTACGGGCCGTTTATGGGGTTGCATTTCATCCGTCCTCCTACGGCTCTTCCTGGACAGATTGCCATTTAAAGTGGTTGAATAATTGAGGAGTAACATTTGCTCCAGCCATCCCGGAGTGCGTGTGTGTGTGTGTGTGTGTGTTGGAGAGAGCAGCTTCTTTGAACCGGGTCACACTCACCTGCTGAAGTGGCGTTGAAGCCATTATTAGCTCTATCATTAGCATATCTCTTAAAGCAGAAGTGCCACTTTTGCATAGACAGTTGATTTAACAAAAAGTATGTGCTTTAATAGCTCATTACTGCACACAATGGACTTGATATCCCTTTTGTAACTAAAATCATTAAAACACTTCATTATTAGCATAAAATTGATGGGAAAGCACTTCCATTATCTGCTGCTTTGTGCTCAACACTGACAACAGGTTGGGTTTGAGAAGCTGTCAAACCTGCTAAACAGTAGAGGTTCAGGGCTCTCCTCGTTTCCCAGAACCTGTAATCTGTCATTTGAAATGTTTTCTTTTTCCTGTGCCATGGCAATATCACCTAGCGACTGTCCACGACTTGTTCATTACTGCTCTGGTTGTACATTTGTACTGTGTAGGCTATTAGCTAATTTCTAGTAGCCATTTCCTGTCTTATGAAGCACGTTATGCTCTCCTTTTTGCTTTAAATTAGACATCATTGGTCCATTTAGTTTAGCACTTTAGCATTAGCTTCTGCTAAATACCACATTGGTATGATGCTTTAGTGCTGATGAAACTAATGGTTCTTATTAGGGCTTTAGGGTTAGTAGTTAACTTTTTAGTTATTGGTGCCCACCATGGTTGTTTCAATTGACAAAGAATAAAACACACTTATACTGACTACCGTGTCTATTAAGGCACAACTGGACCTCATTATCAAAATCCAAAACTTAAATATACTCACCAAAATGAATCCTTCCTCCAGCGTTCTGACTTAAATTAGGCAGAATGTATCGTTGATGGTGAGATTTATTTTCCTACGTCCTGCTGTGGAAAATTCCTGATTTGAATCCCACAATCCTTTCTGTTCATTAATCCTACAAGTGTGGTCCTCCATTTTGTATTTTCTTGCAATAGTTCATAACCCTGACCTCTGAACTTCAACGTCTTAGAGGGTAACCCAAGCCAACTCGAGGATTAATCCTCAAAATGGCCGCCTGAGTGAGCTGTTTATCCAGGGACCTTTTATTAAGAAAAGGTCCCTAACCTGAATAAATACTGTTTCTCTGGCAAACACATGCCGACCCAATTAATCAAAGCCTCGTGTGTGCGTGTGCATGTGTGTGTGTGTGTCGGATTTCAACCAGCACACCTCATGAGTGTGTTTTCACACCGTGCCGTGTTTCTTTAACCTCTTCTGCACTCCTCCAGGCCTCACCAGGAAAGGAATCACAACAGACTTGGGTTACACATGTCCTACAGAGTGTAAGTGTGTGTGTGCGCGTGTGTGTGTGTGTGTGCTTTTGCGTGCCTGTGGGTGTGTGTTTGTGCGTGCCCTGCTGGGTTTCTTAATTTTAACAAGGATTAGCTCTATATTTTCCTTTCATCAGTTCTCTGATGGATCCCCAAATATGTCCGAAATCAAATCAGGACAAGCAGCGCCCTGTGCGGATGTTTGCCCGGCAAAGCCCGCCTTCTCCCCGACTCGGTTTGAGGTTGTCGAGACCTCGCTCGACAAGGGACAACACCCGCGCCCGTGAGTCGTTACAATAATCTGCCTCAGTCCTAAAATTGGGAGCGGTGCAAGTTGGTCTTCAAAAAGTTTCGGCTAAGGCGGACGTGGGGGTCTACCTCCCTCCCCCACCCGGCACAGACAAGGGCCCACAGAAGACAGCGGACCACCGCGGCTGGAAGTCAAAAAGCAAGAAGATGAAAAAATACGTGGGGGCCTCCACCGCTGCTGCGGCGCAAGTTTGCGCTCACAGACAGGAGGGAGAATGTAATCATTCTTCTTGAAATGTACAGAAGAGGCAGAATGCAAACAGACAGCATGCATAATGGCATTTCCATACCGTGCCACACAAAATGTATATTGACAATATGCAGAGACACACACACACACACACACAGAAAGATGCAGGGCGCTATAAACAGCTCTTTATACTCTCCCATTCAAATCAATTTGTTTACGCTGGGCTGCCAAAGGAACCAAATCTAACTGTTTCCCCTTGAATACATTAGACTGTAAGTGAGGTTAGAAAGTGATAATGACTTCCCCTGCTGCTCTCCCTCTCTTCTCCTCGCCCTCTCTTTACCCCTCTCCACCTCCCCACCCTCTTTCCTCCTCTCTTCTCTTCTCTCCATCTCGACTCGTCTGCATCTGTGTCTCAGATGGGGGAAGACTTTGACTCGCGCTCGTCTGATTGAAGCCGGATGGACTCCGTCTTTCTCCCCCCGCTCCACTGTCTCTCTTTGGTCCCAGGCGCAAAACTGCAAAGTCAAAGAACTGCTGCTCCACATCCATCTCTCCGAAGGAAAGAAAGGGGGAAAAAAAGAGGTTCTTTATGCTTTAGGCCAGGATAGTGGAGCGGCACATTATCAGGCAGTGAAAGGCTGAGGACCGGCGACCTCGAACAGACAATTTTATTATTAATACTTGTAAGCAAGTCAACAGCAGCAGTAAAAACTGTATCTGTAAGTCGACTTGGATCACTTTGCTCAAACGCTACGTTTACATTTTACATTGTCTTGCTGAAATGTGCAAGGATTTCCTTGAAACATTGCATATTCTGTATAGACGTGAGATATGGACTTAAAGTTTTATCATGATGTTTTGTGGTACTATTGTGATAATTATAAAAATGACAAATGATACGATATGTACCCGTCCTTATTCCAGATATCATCTGACTGTCGCCGTTCACCAGACACTGTTTTAGCTCCAACAGGTTGGGACGCCATTTTGTCCTCAGAACTGTGTAACTTAATGTTACAGATTCAACAAAGTGTTGGAAACAGTCCTTAAATATTTAATTCATATTCACAAAACAGCAGTCGCCTTCATCACCAATACTCAAGGTTGTGGTGTACCACATGTCCCAAAGTGTCCCAATGAAATATCTTCGACACCATTACACCAACACCACAAGTCTCAAGCAATAATACAAAACAGGACGGATCCACGGTCTCATGTTGTATATCGTCACCTTCCTAAAATAATAGCACAAGTCATTTTTTTTACCAGAAGATCAATTAGACAAAAAGAATAAAATTACATTTTCATTTTGGTAAAAAATGACTTAAGCCAGTGTTTGGAAGGTGACAAAATGCTTAATGGTAAACACACCTGAGCTATAAATAATGGTTTCGTTTTTTTAGGCAATAGCTGTCTTTCTATTACCTCTAACATCAGCAATGCATTTACATCAACACATGGTTCATTCTTATAACAATCCACATTTTTCACTTCCAATACCGATACAGATATTTGAGATTTAGTAGCTGATACTGATCTGACACAATAAACAGAGCTGAATTGACCTAAAATGTTGCTTTTTCTAAACATAGACATAACTGTCCTGAATTACAAATTTATTTGATAACTCTGCTAAAGTACTGCACTCTTATTTACGCCATTAGCATCACAATCTTAGTTAAACATGAAGCAACATGTTTAACTAGAATAGCAGCCAAAGTAAAATAAATATTAAAGAAACTGAAACTGACAAAAACAATAGCTTGACTACTTTGGCAGATTAAATTACTTCAGTAGTAAAACACACAGTCAAAACTTCATCTTCTGGACGCAACAAATCTCCCCAACACTTTACTATGACTACCAAAAGGAGCTTGACAAATGGAAGTTAACAGCATGTTTTACTCCAAGACTGTGGTGAAGGCATCGCTTTGTGTTCTCAGAATGAAAAATAAAGAATAAAACGGTGTGGGCTGTAGGAAGAGGAGCAAGGCTCTGCTCCCGAGAGAGACGCAGCAGATTTTGGCTACAGAGGCTCTCACGGTGAATTCAGCTGGGTTCTCTGAGTAAAAATATTTAAATATTTGAATGGATGTAAATTCAGCTGGATGTCACCCAATGTAAATAAATAAATAAGTGGAAGGGGGGGAAACAAAGCTATATCAAAAATAAGCAGGGAGGACTTATTGTACGAGTGTTAGCAGATGTACAGCGGTGGCATGTGTGACCAAAGCTCTGTCAAGCCTGTGGGTATCAACACAATAGGGACAGCCTGTCATCCCCCGTGGCTATTAATATTATATTACTGTCACTTCAGACCAATCTCTCAGTTAAACAGCACTGTGTGTGAATGTGTGTGTGTGGAAACGGCGGCGTGCATGCAAAATCAGATATAGTCACATTTGCAGCAAAAGCTCTTTTATTCTTTGATTCATTATGCAGGGTGGTAGGAGCTGGATCTCCATGACTGAGTGCTGAATAATGTAAAGCAGCGTTAGCGTGACAGCGTAGACCTTGTTTGGAGGTGACTATCTGAGGTGGAGATCAGGTAGGACACGATGGCCGTGATGACATGTATGGTCTGCTGAGGTCATGTCTGGTTCTCAGGGAAGGACCAGCAGAGTATCGTCTGACAAACATGTGGGTCTGGTTTAATGCTGGATTACCGCCTGTCGAAGGCTTTTGACACAATGTTCCTTGGCTTCTTCTGATCTGCAGCCGGGTGAGGTTTGTGTTTTGGCCCTGCTCCTCGTCTGATTTACTGGCCGGATTTCACAGCTTATCGATATCTGTTGTGGCTAGCTTTATTAGCCAATGTTCCTAGCTGCTTTCACACCTGAAAGTCCGGTAGACTCGGTTCAGTTGGAGACTGAAGTTGCAACGTTTGTCACATTTTCGGTTGGTGCGGTTAGCTTTCATGCTGCACTGTATGTGTGTATTTAAGCCCTTCGAAAAACCTGTTGTGGTGCTGCACCAAGAACCACCAAAGGAAACAACATAAAATCCTCCAAAGATATGAGAACAACTTCCTTCTTCACTAATGTAAACAAAATAAAATTTTAGCAGTGGTCGGATTTCACTTTTATCTTTAGTAAAAGACCACAACCCATTTCTCCTACTGGAGTTAGACTCACATGTGTGTTTTGGTTGTATTTACCCAGAATGCCTTGCGTCATAGTCCACTTCCTGCTTCTGGAGCGGTTTCCGGTTCGGTTGGTGTTCACACATGCACTGCCAAAGTTCACGTCAACCGAACCGAGGCCTATTTTTTTTAGGCGGACCAGAGTTTGCTTTTTGGTCTGAGTCAAAGTTTGATTCCATGTTCACACCTCACCAAGTGAACCGGACTGTCTAGGCAAACATACTAGAGTTTAACTAAAGTGAACTAAACAGGGCTGGTGTGAATACACCCCATGATTTCTACAAATTTTTAGCTACTTAAGTGGGAAGGGACAAATATAAACAGAAATATTGTCACCTTCCTAAAATTTAACTTTATTTATTTGGGTATTTTATTTATTGCTCCTCTTTTTGTTTAGCCGAGTTGTCCATCACAATATCGAAGTGTCTTCTTTGCCGCCTTCAAAATTCATACTTAAGAGCCTACAGCACCCTCTGCTGGCTCTTTTGGGTCAATACGTGGCACAATTTATGTAGACTGACGTAATCCGTCTTGGGCAGACTGGATACCTGACCAGGCGACTCCAACCCCAACTGCAACTTTGGTCTGCAGTTAATTAAGGAGCATTGAATGAGGACAACATCTTAAACCTGGAGGATGACGATAGTTAGACACCACAGATTTAGAATATCCACTTAAAACCTCCTATGCTTGATTTTTGGATAATGAAATTAATTGCAGAAACGCAAACCAGACTTCATGTTTGTAGCAGAGACTTGTTTTCTTTTATCCTGATTTCATGTTACTGGTCTTTTGGAGTATCCAGCTTAACGTTTCTTTCCTATGTTCTGCTTTCTGAGATGTATTGTCTTTCATTTTCTCCTGAATAGGAAACACTCAATTCAAAACCCTCAACAAATAATCTTCCACCAATGAATGCATGGCACTGATTATAATTATTATTTTTAAATGTAAAAAAGGGGCTTTTTTGACAGCTTGACTTTGCATTTATACAACAATCTGAAACACAACCTTTTTTCAGTCTCTCAGCAATCTGCATAACCAAACCTGGAAAGTACATGCTATTCTCTGTAGCTGGGGGGGGGGTGCAGGGTGACTCAGTTGGTCGAGTGCATGCACCATGTGTAGAGGCTGGAGTCCTTGGGGTTGATTCCCGGACTCGGGTCATTCGCGCATTTTCATCCCCTTATGTCTCCTCCCTATGTTCTGTCCATCTACTACTCAATAAAAGCCACTAGTGCCAAAATTACTTAAAATGTAATTCTCTCTGGTTAGTCCTGACACAACTTTTCAATCGGATTTGGATCTGATCTTTGCCTTAATCCAAACCATTCCACGGTAGCTCTGGTTGGACGAATGTATTTATCTCCACCTATCAGTGCCAAGCTTTCATGGTGCTGTTAAAGTAAATTAATCCCCAAACATTGATGCTGGCACCATCAGGTTTTACAATGGGACAGTGTATTCATGTCAAAAAAGTTCAGCTGTGGTTTGGATTTGATCAGTATCAGGTTGAAAAAGAGCTTAATCCGAAGGTACTCCACAATTCCCAAATGTATTTTTCAGAACAAAGTATACATCTTACTCCTCTTCACAATTAAGCACAACTTTGTGTTAATGTGTCACATAAAATCCTAAACACAAACACTCAAGTTTGTGGTCTAACATGACAAAAAGTGAAAAGATTTCATGGCTCCAGAATACTTTTGCAAGCTACTGTACGTATTGATTTGTTTTTCTCAAATTTATTCTGTTACAGCTTCATCCTTCCCCCCCCCCCTAAAAAACTCCCCACAGTAAAAGGATGTGCAACAGCGACTCAGCATTGCAACATTGTTTGCATCTTTGCAAGTGATAAAGGTTTTTTGATTGTTTGTTGTAAGGCTTCAGAGACCAGCAGAGGGCTGTCTTAAAAAAAAAATTAGCCAAAGATTCCCCAAAGAATGGCACGGCAGGAGCACACGCAACTTTTCGAGAAAACTTGCAATGCAGATGAGCCCGAAAGGAGTGACACTCGCACGCGCGCGCACGCCACCTGCGCGACGCCTAGCTTCGTGTGGAATCTGGTCGGAAAACGTGGGAGCGACGGCGGAGCATGTGGAAGGGAAGAGGAGGCAGCAGCCTGCCAAGAGTGTTGTTATTCAGGTCCACACGCCTCGGCATCTGTGTCAGCTAATGAGAGAAACTCTGCTCTGTTTCATCTGGTCTCCCCGGACCGGGAATTAGCATCTCCAAAGACAGACGCGGCGAGAGAGGGACGGATGGAGGGAGGAAGACGGAGAGGGAGAGTCATGGAAAAATAGGAGGCAGGGAGCAAAAAAAAAAAAAAAAAGAGAGCTGGGCAGAAAAAGGTGGGAAGAGATGGAGGGAATAACTTCCCAGACTGGGGAGGGGAGGGATTTAAACACAAACTCTCTGTTTCTCAC